TGACTTCTTTGGAATCCTATAATATTTGACTACTTTAGAATCATATATTTGTCCTTTTGCTACTGGCTTATTTTGCTTAGCATAATGTCCTCAAGTTTCATCCACGTTGTAGCATATGACTGGATTTCCTTCTTTTTAAAGATTGCATTATATTCATTGAATGTATACACCACATTTTCTTTTTTCATCAACTTGTCAATGGACATTTGGGTTGTTTCCATATCTTGAATATTGTGAATAATACTGCAGTGAACAAGGGAGTGCACATAAGTCTTTGGCCATATGTGCAAGGAGTTATTTTGCGCCAATATCCTAATTAGAGACTTCTATGACTAATAGTCCTTCTGAATACATACCCAGAAGCAGGATTGTTGAATCATATGGTAGTTTTACTTTTTTTTTTTTTTGAGGAAACTCCATACTGTTTTCCATAATAGCTGCATCGTTTTACATTCCCAGCAACAATGCATAACAGTTTCAACTTCTCTGCATCCTCACCAACACTTGTTTTCTGTTCTTTTGATAGTTGCTATCTTGAAGGGTGTATGATGTCTCATCGTGGTTTTGATTTGCATTTCCCTAATGATTAGTGATGTTGAACATTTTTTTTATATTCCTGTTGGCTATTTGTATATCTTCTTTGGAGGAATGTCAAGTCAAGTCCTTTGCCCATTTTTAAATCATTATTTGTTTTGCGGTTGCTGTTGAGTTGTAGGGATCCTTTATGTATTCTTGATAGTAACCTTATCACATACATGATTTCCAATTGTTTTCCCCCATTCTGCAAGTTGTGTTTTCACTCTATTTATTGTTTTCTTTGACATAAAATGCTTTAAGTTTGGTATACTCCCATTTGCCTATTTTTTATTTTGTTGCCTGTGCTTTTAGTGTTATATCAAATAAATCATTGTCAAATCTAATGTTCTGAAGATTTTCCCTATGTTTTCTTCTGTGAGTTTAATACTTTTAGGTCTTATGCTTAAGTAAGTTTTTAATTTATTTTGCCTTAATTTTTGTATATGGTATTAGGTAGATGTCCAACTTCATTCTTTCGCATGGAATATCCAGTTTTCTCAACACTGTTTCTTGAAGAGACTGTCCTTTCTCCATTGTGTAGGCTTGGCATCCTTGTTGAAAATCATCTGGCCATATGTGCAAGGAGTTATTTGGGGGCTCTCTATCTGGTCTTATCAGTCTGTATATCTGTCTTTATGCCAGCGCCACAATATCGCGATTACTGTTGCTTTGTAGTATCATTTTGAAATTAGGCAGTCTGAATTCTCCAACTTTGTTCTTTTCCAAGATTGCTTTAGCTATTCAGGCTCCCTTGAGATCCCACTTGGAATTTTACGATTTTTTTCCATTTCTGCAAAAAAATGCCATTGGGCCAGAACCAGTTTGGCTCAGTGGATAGAGCGTCGGCCTGCGGACTGAAAGGTCCCAGGTTCGATTCCGGTCAAGGGCATGTACCTGGGTTGTGGGCACATCCCCAGTAGGAGGTGTGCAGGAGGCAGCTGGTCGATGTTCCTCTCTCATCGATGTTTCTAACTCTCTATCTCTCTCCCTTCCTCTCTGTAAAAAATCAATAAAATATATTTTAAAAAAAAAATTTTTGAAAAAAAAATGCCATTGGGATTTAGATAAGGATTGTATTGAGTTTGCATCAATTGAGATGATCATGTGGTTTTTGTCCTTTATTTTGTCAATGTGGTGCATTACATGGATTGACTTTTGTATTTTGAACTATCCTTGATTCCAGATATAAGTCCCACTTGATCTGAAGTATTATCTTTTCAACGTGCTGTTGAATTTACTAGTAGTTTGCTAGTATTTTGTTTAGGATTTGGGGTCAATATTCATCAGGGATATTGATTTGTAGTTTTCTTGTTGTGTCTTTCATATCAGAATAAAGTTGGCCTCATAGAAGGTGTTTTGGAAGTGTCCCCTTCTGCTCTGAGGAGCAGTTTAAGGTTTGGTATTCATTTTTCTTTAAAAATTTGGTAGAATTCTACAAGGAAGCCACCTGGACCTGGGCTTTTCTTTGTTGGAAGGTTTTTGGTTAATGTTTCCATATCCTCATTGTATTCAATGTAGTTATAGGTCCGTTCAGATTTATTATTTCTTCAGGATTCAGTTTTGGTAAGGTTTATGTTTCTAGGAATTTATCCATTTCTTCTAGGTTGTCCAGCTGAGATATAATTAGTCATAGAAGTCTCTAATACTCCTTTTTATTTCTGTAAAATCAGCTGTAATGTCTCCTCTATCCTTCCTAATTTTATCTATTTGATTCTTCTCTCATTTTCCTAAGTAGTCTAGCTAAGGATTTGTCAATTTTTGTGATCATAAAAGAATAATAAGTTCTTGGTTTTGTTGATTTTATTCCCTATTGTTTTTCTAATCTCTATTTACCTTTGCACTAATTTTTTTAAAAAATCTTTATTGCTGAAAGTATTAGATATGTCCCCTTTTTATTCCCATTGACCCCTTCTAGCCCACCACCACCCCAGGACTCCATAACCCTATCGCCTGTGTCCATGGGTTAGGCATCTATGCATACAAGTATTTTGGTTGATTCCTCCCACCCACTCTCTCCTGCCTTCCCTCTGAGTTCCACGGTCTGTTCCATGCTTTTATATCTCTGGATCTAATTTGTTCAAAAGTTTATTTTGTTCATTAGATTCCACATATGAATAAGATCATGTGATACTTATCTTTCTCTGACTGGCTTATTTTGCTTAGCATAATACTCTCCAGATAACTCCATGCTGTCTAAAAGGGTAAGCAGTCCTTCTTTTTTACTGCTGCATAGTATTCCATGGTGTAAATGTACTACACGTTTTTTATCCACTCATCTGTTGATGGGCACTTGGTCTATTTCCAGATCTTGGCTATTATTGTAAATTGTGCTGATATGAACATTGAGGTGCATACATTCTTTCGGGTTGATATTTTGGGTTTCCTGGAAATATTCCTAGGAGTAGGATCACTGGATCAAATGACAGTTCCATATTTAATTTTTTGAGAAAACTCCATACTGTTTTCCATAATGGTTGCACCAGTCTCCATTCCCACCATCACTTTTCTACACATTCTTGCCAGCACATGTCATTTGTTGATTTGTTGATAGTAGCCATTCTAACAGGTGTGAGGTGATATCTCATTATTGTTTTAATATGCATCTCTCTGATGATCAGTGACTTTGAGCATTTTTACATATGTCTCTTGGCCATCTGTATGTCCGCTTTGGAGAAGTGGCGTCCCTTATATATTTTGTATATTAACTCATCAGAGGTATCATTGTCAAATATGTCCTCCCATACAGTGAGTGAAATGTTCTATAAATGTCAATTAAATTCATCTGATCCAGTGTGTCATTTAGAGTCACTGTTTCCATGTTAATTTTTTTGTCTAGAAGATCTATCAGTGAAGTCCCCTACTATGACTGCATTGCTGTCAATCTCTCCCTCAAAGTTCTGTGGAAGTTATTTTGTATATTTAGGCGCTCCTTTATTGGGTGCGTGTATGTTTACCAGGATTATGTCCTTTTATTGGATCAATCCCTTTAGTAGTGACTTTTATTGTCTCTTGTGATGGCTTTCATTTTGAAGTCTATTTTGTCAGATATGAATGTTGCCACCACAGTTGTTGTTGTTTTTTTTCATTTCCATTTGCATGGGAAAATTTTTTCCTTAACTTCACTTTCATTCTGTGTGAGTCTTTTGTTCTGAGGTGGGTCTCTTATAGATAGCATACAGTTGGATCATGTTTTGTATTCATTCAGCTACCCTATGTCTTTTGATTGGAGCATTTAATCCATTTACACTTAAGGTTATTATTGATAGGTACTTATTTATTGCCATTTATTTACTCATTTTACTAGGTTTCTCTCTCTACTACTTCTCATTACAGCAGTCCCTTTAGCATTTCTTGCAGTGCTAGTTTGATGATGACAAATTCCTTTAGCCTTTTTTTTTTTTTTTGTCTGGGAAGCTCCTTATTTTACCATCTATTTTGATTGATAGCCTTGCTGGATATAGTAATCTTGGTTTCAGATCCTTGCTTTTCATTACCTTGAGTACTTCATGCCATTCCCTTCTGGCCTGTGGAGTTTCTGATGAGAAATCAGCTAACATCCTACGGGAGCTCCTTTGTAGCTAACAAATTGCTTTTCTCTTGCTGCCTTTAAGATTCTCTCTTTGTCTTTAATTTGGGGCATTTTAATTATGATGTGTCTGGGTGTGGGCCTGTTTGGGTTCTTCTTGCCTCCTGAACTTATGTGACTTTTTCCTTCACCAGATTAGGTAAGTTTTCTGCCATTATTTCTTCAAACATGTTCTCTGTCCCCTGCTCACTTTTTTCTTTTCCTGACACTCCCGTTATGAAAATACTGTTATGATTCATGTTGCTCCCTTAAGCTGTCCTTCTGTTTTATAATTGTTTTTTTCTTTTTGGTTCTCTGATTGAGTGATTTTTTTTTTCTGTCTTCTAATTCACTGATCCAATCCTTGGCTTCCCCTTATCTGCTGTGTATTCCTTCTAATGTGTCCTTTATTAATGCTTGTCGTTCTTCATAGTTACTATACTCTTCCTCATGCTGTTTAGCATCTTTGCCATCATTATTCTGAACTCTGTATCTAGTAAATTTCTTATATCCATTTCATTTATCTCTTGAGAGAATCCTCTTTTTCTTTTGTTTGGGCTTGTTTGTTTGTTTTTTGTCTCCCTATTTTGGCTGCCTGTTTGGGTTTGTGACTGTGTATTATTAGATATGCTACACATCTCAGTCTCTAATGCAGGGCAATGTCACATGCTGGTTTGAATGGTCCTGTGTACCTTATTTGGAGCTATCAACAGTCCACAGCTTATGACTCCCTCTTCTGGGTCTGGGTGCCTTTGGAAAGGACCAAGATGTACACCAAGGCCTGCTTTTCCTAGCCCTGGGCCCCAAAGGATAAATACTGTATAATCTGACTAGTATGAGCTACAGACAATAGTCTAATTCACAGAGACAGCAAGTAGAATGGTGGTGGCCAGGGGCTGAGAGAAACGGAGAGTGGGGAGTTATTGTTTAATGGTACAGAGTTTTTATTTGGGATATTGAAAAAGTTCTGAGGCTAGAATGTGGTGATGGTTATACAACATTGTGAATGTACATAATGCCACTAAATTATTCATTTTAAAATTATTTAAATGGCAATTTTTATGTTATGCATATTTTACTAGAATGAAAAAATTTAATTTTATTTCCTCCTCCCTTAGATTGTTTTAAACTACCCTTGTAGAATAAGTGATGTCATCTATAAAGAATGGTTAGTAGTGCTTTTTTGTATTTTTCCTCTAAAAAATATAATTTAAAAACATGTTCATCTGGCCTGGCCAGCATGGCTCAGTGGTTGAGCATTGAGCTATGAACCAGGAGATCACAGTTCAATTCCCGGTCAGGGCACACACCCAGGTTGTGGGCTAATTCGCGGTGCAAGAAACAGCTGATCAATGATTCTCTCTCATCATTGATGTTTCTATTTTTCCCTCTCCTTTCCTCTCTCTGAAATGAATAAAAAATATGTAAATTTAAAAAAAACACACACACACAACAACAAAACAACATGTTCATCTGATTTCCAATCACATAATCAAGTGAATGGGCATGGTTAGTGCCATATGCAATAGTCATGTCCTAGGCATCAATAATACCCATACTGAGATCCACATAAATGTCCCTCATGATAAGATTCTGACTATAGCCATGAACATCACCAAACATCTCTGCATGCAGACACAGCTCCCTGGTGTTTACTGTTTAAGCAGTGGTTCTCAACCTCCCTAATGCCGCCACGCTTTAATACAGTTCCTCATGTTGTGGTGACCCCCCAATTTCATTGTTACAAATTGAACATAATTAAAGCATAGTGATTAATCACAAAAACAATATGTAATTATATATGTGTTTTCCGATGGTCTTAGGCGACCCCTGTGAAAGGGTCGTTCGACCCCCAAAGGGGTCACGACCCACAGGTTGAGAACCGCTGCTGTTTAAGGATCACCTTGGTCTCCGGGCTGCGCAAGAGCAGACATTCAATGGCCTTTTGCAAATTGATGACCCTACTGATGAAAATGCTGATGGCAAAGGGTCTGAAGTGCTGTGTCTCTGTCTCCTGCTGCCTGGTCCATTTCTCATGGGGTATAGTGTTCATCTTTCACAGAGAACAGATTCGTGGTAATAAATGGATGACCATGCTTTTCCCACTGAATCAAAATGTCTTTCAGCATCCAGAAGCATGTGGTTTAAAGACCCCGGTTCCACGGTGGTCAAAATATTTGAAGGCTAGTGGAAAAGAAGTTGATAAATCTCTTAACAAAAGGAAAATAAAGATGAAATTTTAAAATGCACACAACATGTCTAAAATTCTATCCAAGATCATTTCTAGCTAGAATAGATTTGCTGCCTATGGGAGGTAGTGAACTTTACCAAATACATTAAAATCTTAATAAAATTTGGAACTCTTTATAAGAATATAAGATGAAGAAGAAAAATGTTAATATTTGTGAATAAAATACAAAATGTAACCTTTTATTAAAAACCCTAATCAGAAAAGAAAAGCAAAGAATTCTAATTAGGTAAAAATAATCTCCAAAATGCAACTGTAATTTCAAAATAAAATAACATACATACTTTCAGAACTTTTTGTAAGCAGTTAATCGTTGACACAGTGTTGAATCTCCCATGAGGTAAATAAGTCTCATTTTACTCCATCTGTTGCAAAATGCTGTGACCCGCCTTTTCCACAGTATAACCCCTGGGAAAGGTATCTTCATTCCAACCTGGCATTTCTTTTCTAAGTTCTAACTCTGTCAATAAAAACTCCCACTGTAAGTCATTTTTATTACCACAAATAATTTAGGAAACACCTTTCTCGTTTTCTCCCCCTACCCCTTTCTCTTTCCCTCCACCCTTCTCTACCACTGCCCTCTGCTCTTCCACAAATATGTGTTAAACAAGTTCATCATAAAGGGAGTAATTTTTCCTGGTGCGGGGATAGATTTTCTCTTGCACATTCACATGTTTCCGTGGCTACAGCTCAGGCCACTGGACCGGGAGACAGCTGGCCAAATCAGGAGGAAATGTTTGGCCGTGAAACAGCAGAACTCGGCGTCCCCGCTGATCGCTGTACTGATGACATTGGCCTTGCAGAATTGTAAATCTCCCCTCCCCACGCTACTTATCCATGAAAAACACTTGAACATTTATGAAATGAGTGCCACATACATCTTATTTTGTGTGTGCCAGAATCGTGTTCTCTGGCTAATTCTAAAACCCCTTAAATGTTTCATTGTTGTGCTCAGAACCGAACGTAATAGTCTGTGTGGTCTGGTTAGTGCAGAAAAAGATAGAACTCATTACCTCCTTATTCTGAATACTCTGCTATAAAAGTAGCCTAGTCCTGGGCCATCGTCCTGTACACCAAAATGGGTGGGGTTTCCATTCCCAGTCAGGGCACATACCCAGGTTAGGGGTTGTATCCCCAGTCAGGGCTCATAGGAAAGGCAACTGATCTCTCTCTCTCTCTCTCTCTCTCTCTCTCTCTCTCTCCTTTCCTCAGTCTCTGAAATCAATAAATGTATCCTCAGAGAGGATTCTTTTACAAAGTAGCCTAAGCTGTCTTCACTGACTCATATCAGGCTTCCACTAGTTAAAATTCAGCACATTTTTATATTTGTGCCACTTTAAAGCCACACCTTCTGTGTCACCTACCGAGATTGTTGGGATTTGGGGTATAAGTTTAGGAACTTAAACTTATCCATATTAAATTATACCAGGTTTATAAATGGCCCTGAAAAAATAACAGTCTGGCACTATCTTCTAAGAAACCACCGACTTTACTAGAAATTACTGTCCAGGCAACAGAGAAACCAGAGAGATTAAGAGGACTCAAGTTGTCTCAAGAATCTAAGAACCTTCTTTGGTGTAAAAGTTGGGCATGGAAGATGGTTGCCACGGCAGAAAGGGAATCTGACTTTTCCACGGAGCGTGAACTTTAGAATGGGCTCTTTATTTATACCTATGTTCTCCACGGGGTTTTGCAAAATTCCTTGCCTAGAGTAGTTCCTCAATAAATATTTGCTGAATTCATGAACAGAGTGAATGTAGGCTCTGTTGACTGTTATAACAGAAGTCTTTTACTTTTCTGAAATTCACTTTAATTTCAGAGCAGCAGAAACATCACTTTTATGAGTGAGATGGTTTTATATTGACCACTGAAGTCCATGTGATAAAATTGAGGGGGGGAATCACAAAAATTGCTAGTTTATGGGTCTTTGACTGAGATGGTTTGGCTGAAAAACAGGTTAGAAACCTCCAAAGGAATTTCCTAACTCCGAGTTTCACCTGACACATTTTCACAGAGCACCAGTACCCAATTATTGGCTTTTCAGAAATAAATCTCAAGTTTAAATAAAATTAACCTATATAGCCTTAGCCGGTTTGGCTCAGTGGATAAAACGTCAGCCTGCGGACTGAAGGGTCCCAGGTTTGATTCCTGTCAAGGGCACCTACTTTGGTCACAGGCTCCCTGCCCTGGTTGGGGGCATGCATGCAGGAGGCAGCCAATCAATGTGTTTCTCTCACATTGGTGTTTCTCTCTGTTTCTCCCTCTCCCTCCCACTCTCTCTAAAAATCAATGGAAAAGTCTCCTCAGGTGAGGATTTAAAAAAATAACAACAATAACCTGCACATTTTGAGAATAGGTATCTGAAATTAAGGGTTGCCAAGTTTTTTATATCTGACTCCAGACAAAAAAAGCAACTCCTACAAAAATAAAATCTCTTGTATAAAACCCAAAACAATTAATGCTATTTGTCACAGGAAATGAGAGATCAAAATGGTAAATGTTACCCCAGTCCAGTGGTCGGCAAACTGCGGCTCGCGAGCCACATGCGGCTCTTTGGCCCCTTGAGTGTGGCTCTTCCACAAAATGCCACTTGTGGGCGCGCACGTACAGTGCGATTGAAACTTCGTGGCCCATGTGCAGAAGTCGGTATTTTGTGGAAGAGCCACACTCAAGGGGCCAAAGAGCCGCATGTGGCTCGCGAGCCGCAGTTTGCCGACCACTGGGCTAGAGGGTCCCGGGTTTGATTCCAGTCAAAGGCATGTACCTTAGTTGCAGGCTCCTCCCCAGCCTGGGCCCTGGTTGGGGCTCGTGCAGGAGGCAACCAATTGGTGTGTTTCTCTCACATCAGTGTTTCTCTCTGTCTTGCCCTCTCTCTTCCACTCTCCCTAAAAACCAATGGAAAAATATCCTGGGGTGAGGATTAACAAAAAAATATTTTTTTAAAAAATAACTGATTGACAAAAAAAAAACAACACCTTGTAAATATAGAAAAAAAAATTTTTAAGTTAAATGTCAAATATCTCTTAAAATAAGAATGTCCTTCAAGTGAATAAATTGTGAACACGACAGGCAATAGCACAATAGACTTACTGTTGCATTGTAAGACCTTGCTGGAGGTAGTCTTGCAGCAATTCAACTCCTATGTTGGACCTTCAAGAAAATGGAAAGAAAAGTTAGCCTGATACCTTCCCAGATATTAAAGTAAGAATTAATCACTGTTTAGGTGGATTGAACCACCCTTAACTTTCTCTATAGATGTTTTTTTCTTTATTTGGATTTATTTAAGATATTCTGGCGGAGTGAATGGGTTAGGATTCTGGAAAACTGTTCTCCTGCTAATGCCAGGAGTCTGGAGATCCAGAGAGAGTCACTCATGTTCCATGTAGAATTAATCAAATATCTATTTCTTTGCATTTCCTTCTAACAAGCCATGATCTGCACACTTTACCACCTGTAGTAGTTTGTGCTTTCATTGCATTTTCCCCGCGCTTCTCCACCTTGTGCACGCACCAGAGTTGTGTGAGTGCTGCTGCCACTCCGATTGCTTGGCTTCCTCCCACAGCTCTGGTTCAATAGTTCTGGGAGCTTGAAGAGAGATCTACACCCCCAGGTTTGCAGCAGAATTGGTCACATTAGTCATGTGTGAAAATAACCTATGTGTCTGTCAATGGGTGAATGGATAAAGAAAGTGTGACCTATATATAAATTATTCAGCCTTAAAAATGAATGAAATCCTGCCATTTGTGACAACATGGATGAAGCTGGAGGATATTATGCTAAGTGAAACAGGCCAGATACAGAAAAATAAATACTAAATGATCTGACTTTTTGTTGCTGTTGAATTTTAAAAAGTCAAACTCAGAAAGACAGAATAACATGGTGGTTTCCAAGGTTGGAGGTTGGGAGAAATAGAGAGATGATGGTCAAAATGTATAAACTTAAAGAGGACTAAGTTCTGGGATCTAATATACAACATGGTAAATATATATATACTAGTGGCCCGGTGCTGGGAAAGTGTAGTCACTGTGTTATAAATGGAAGGGAACCAGACTTGGTCTCTGGACTTGTGGGATGAAAAGGTGTCATAGAGCCTGGCTTGGGCCAATGAAGGGGCCCGGGGCTCAGTGACAGAATAGAGTGATCCCTGAGAGTTCGTGGACATGGAGTCACTCGTGAAGTCTAATTCCTCATACACATACTAAATCATCTGTGAGGAGACTCAAATCTCTGCTTCCATGAAGTGGAGAAAGAGCTGGACAGTTTGAATAGAGCCGGGGATCCAGGGAGGAAATGTGTCTATTGGGAAGTAAACAGGGCCAGGCAGACTGCTGTCATGAATACAGGCCACTTGAGAAGCATTATGGGACCTAAAACACGAGCAGGTCTGCCAGTCCCGGGCCTGGGGATTTCCTGAGAGCAGCAGGGACAGTGTACAAGGAGAGTCCCTCCAACAGGCTGCAATGAGGACCATCTCAAGCGGGAGCCAGGTATGGCCAACAGGGAAGATAGAATCAGCACAGGTGGTCTCTGCCCTTAGAATTAAGGCATGGTTTGGAGACCTTCCGAACAGGCAGACCTCTATGTCTCCATGATCATTTCTCCTTTTGTTATTAGTAACCCATTTACTTGAAAAAGTCTAGCCCCTTTGGGACAAACTATAGAAAAGATACTTTTCCATACCTTGATCGGGAAAACAAAAAGAAGAGAGGGTGAGATAGGGTTGAAAGGAAAATCTTGTCAGCATTATGCCCTGTGTCCTGCCCTTGAATTGGACTTGAACTTGAATCTCTAGGATATTATGCTATCCAGCTTGCTCTCCTGAGCCCACATTGGAAAACCAAGGTATTTATACAGCAGGGGTTCCCAAACTGTGGAACCAAGATCCTGAAAATGATCCATTAAGTTCATGTTCCATGGTCAAGTCATCTGGGGAAATGTTTCTGTCCCCACTTGAAGGGATACATACTGAAGTTGCTTTGAAGTATTGCTGCAAAGAAACCTATTTAATTGTTTTCCCAGATTGTATCTCACTTATTCTTTCCCCCAGCAGTTACTGGGATGTCCTAGGTGTTCAGCATTATGCTTGGCCTGTGAGACAAAGCAGTGGCCATCGGTGGCCTCCTGTCATATATAGATGGCCTCTACGTTGCTTCCTACCCATCTGGCCTCCTCTCTCCTTCTTCGAATTCCAGCCTCAGTGGTCCCTCTCAGGATTCCTAGAACATTCCAGCGTGCTCTTGCCTCAGACCCTAATCCCTCTCTTGGGAATGGTGTTTCCCCAGAATTCACATGGCTCACTTCTTCATTTCCTTCAGGTTGCTACTCAAGACAGGCCTTACCTGGCCACTTTTTAAAATAGTGCCCCCCTCACCTACAAAATCCCTTATTCTGATGACTTTATGTTACAAAACTATTTGTTTATTTGTTTGTTGTCTTTCTTGTCCACTAAAATGCTGACTTCCAAGCATCTAGCAGGGGTCCTCAAACTACGGCCCGCGGGCCACATGCAAATACAAATATTGTATTTGTTCCTGTTTTGTTTTTTTACTTCTAAATAAGATATGTGCAGTGTGCATAGGAATTTGTTCATAGTTTTTTTTTTAAACTATAGTTCGGCCCTCCAACGGTCTGAGGGACAGTGAACTGGCCCCCTGTTTAAAAAGTTTGAGGACCCCTGATCTAGAGCTATACTAGTATCTGGAATATAGAATGTGCTAACAACTATTTATAAATTGAATGAATGCATGCATGGTGAAAAATAGAGGATTGCCTTACACAGCTTACAAATTAGCAAAAGATATAAACCTGTATTGAAAATTTAATAGTGTAATAAGTGTTCTGATTGGAGAACAGAATGCAGATGTGGAGAAAATGCCATCTGAAGCCAGGTGTGTGAAATGCTAGGGTTGAAAGGAAACATGGTCCATTTGTGAAATAAAAGTTAAAGTGAGACAAGAGACTGCAGAGCTTGGAAAGTTCTGTAAACATATTAAAGAGTTTGGATTTCATCCTCAGAGCATTAAGGTCATATTAATGGTTTTAAGCAAGGAAATGTAAAAGTCATCTGTGTTTAGAAACACCAGTCTGGGTACAGTGTGGAGAACAGATTGAAGGAAACAAGACTGTAGGCAAGAAACCCAGCTCTGAAGTTGCCGTAACCTAAATGAGGCACAATGATGGTTTATACAAGGACTCAGTGAAGTGTCTGGACTCAGCAGATATTTGGGAGGTACAATTCATAAAATTTGGCGATTCAGTTGCTGTAAAGCGTAGACTACATAATGGTACCATTCACAACCCCCCTTTTTTATTTTGCAAAGCATCTATTAATACTTTGTAGGATTGCTATTCCATGGAATACATAATAGGAAGTGATGGGCTATACAAAATTACTGAATTTGGAAGTATTATAACCATGGAGAACTATAGGTATATAGAAAACACTTCATTGGTTATACTCCTTTTAGCAAATCAGATCACTTAAACCACAGGTGTAGAGGTGTCCTGTATGGGGCCCTGTGATTTTACTACCAGCTGAACTGACTCTGAGCAATAGGTCTAATTAACCCTAGTCATTATTCATCGACACAATAAGGGAGTCTGATTAGGAAAAGTTGGTCTGAACCGAATCTGCCCTTTTGTATCAATTATTGTATTTGAAGTCACTGGCATAAAAATTAACTATATAACCTGGTCAGCATGGCTCAGTGGTTGAGCATTGACCTATGAATCAGGAGGTTATGGTTGGATTCCTGGTTAGGGCATATGCCCAGGGTGTGGGCTCGATCCCCAGTCTGGGGCATGCAGGGGGAAACTGATTCTCTGTCATCATTGATATTTCTATCTCTCTCTCCCTCTCCCTTCCTCTATGAAACCAATAAAAATATTTTTAATTAACTATATAAAACTAGAGGCCCGGTGCACAAATTCGTTCACCAGTGGGGTCTGTCAGCCTGGCCTAAGGGATTGGGCCCAGATTGCAAGAGGGCACAGGCCAGGCCGAGGAACCCCACCGGTGCACGATCAGGGCCGGGGAGGGACAAGGGAGGACTCCAGAGCATGTCTGGCCCATCTCACTCAGTCCTGATCGGCTGGACCCCAGCAGCAAGCTAACCTACCAGTCAGATCATCTGCCCCCTGGTGGTCAGTGCATGTCATAGCGACTGGTCGACTGGTCAACTGTCTGCCCCTGGTGGTCAGTGCATGTCATAACGAGCGGTTGAGTGGTTGACTGTCTGCCCCCTGGTGGTCAGTGAACATCATAGCAAGCAGTTTAGTGGCCTTAGCATATCATTAGCATATTACACTTTGATTGGTTGAACAGACAACTGGACACTTAACATATTAGGCTTTTATTATATAGGATAAGTTTATATTATTTGCTGATTGATTTTGAAGTATTTACTAGCACCTTATGAAGTGATCCCCTCAAGAAGTCTAGTACCCACCTGGCATCATCCATAGTTATTACAATAATATTGACCATATCTCTATGCTGTACTTTACATCCCCATGACTATTTGAAACTACCAATTTGTACTTCATAATCCCCTTACCTTTTTCATCCAGCTCCTAAGTCTATTTTCTGTATCAATGAGTTTGTTTCTGTTTTGTGTATTTGTTTTGATTTTTGGATTCCACACGTAAGTGAAATCATATAGTACTTGTCTTTCTCTGTTTGACTTATTTCTCTTAACATAATACCCTCTAGGTTCATCCATGTTGTTGCAAATTGTAAGAGTTATTGTTTTTTATAGCCTAGTAGTATTCCATTGTGTATATGTACCATATCTTCTTTATCCAATTATCTATCAATGGACACTATTGTATATGAAATGTCTTTTTAGGTCTCTTGTTATAGTCTTTTGTGTTAAAGACTATTTTGTCTGATATCAGTATTAATTACTACCCCAGCTCTTTTTTCCATTTCAATTTTCTATCTTTTCCTCATTTCAGTTATTGTATTCTTAATTTCTAACTTTTTAAAAAATATTTTTATTTATTTTAGAGAGGGAGAGAGGAATAGAAACATGAATGATGAGAGAGAATCATTGATCAACTGCTGGCTGCTTCCTATACCCCAATCCCCACTGGGGATTGAGCCCACAACCTGGGATACAACTGTGATCTCCTGGTTCATAGGTCAATGCTCAACCACTGAACCACGCTGGCCGGGCTTAATTTCTAACTTTTTAAAATGTTTCCTAGCTCTTTGTTGAAGCTCTCACTGAGTTTATCTATTTGTTTCTTAAGTTTCTTGAACATCCTTATAACCAGTGTTTTGAACTCTGCATCCAATACATGGCTTGCCTCCATTTTGTTAGTTCATTTTCTGAAATTTTGTCATTTTTTCATTTGGGAGATGTTTGTCTCCTCATTTTGGCTGCCTCCCTGTGCTTGTTTCTATGTAGTAGGTAGGTCTGCTATGTCTTCCAGTCTTGGCAGAGTGGCCTTTTGTAGCAGATGTCCCGCGGCTCCTGTGGCTGTCAGCCCTGTTCACAGCATAGCCTCTCCCAGGCACCGCCAAGTCCAGCACATGCAGCTACCAACCCCAGATCACTTTAGCGCTCCTTCCAGGTGGCGTGGGGCTGGTGCTGAGCCACAGGCAGCCGCTGATCTGGACTTGCACCAGAGCCCCTCTATTTGTTCATCATAACTATTGTCAAAGACTTTTTTAGAACAATATAGGTAGTTATTCCAAAACAATTATGCAACATCACATATATCATATTCTAATAAATAGTTGCGTGAATGAAAGATTCATGAAAAATCCACTTTTTTTCTTAATTTTATTTTTTCAATTAGTTTACAACCAATATTATTTTTTATTAGTTTCAGTGGTACAGCACAGTGGTTAGATAATCATATACTTTATGATTTCAAGTGCCTACCTGCCACAATACACAATATTATTGGCTATATTTCCTTTGCTGTACTTTAAATCCCCATGACTATTTTATAACCACCAGTCTGTACTTCTTAATCCTTTCATCTTTTTCACATAGTCCCTAACACCCTTCCTGTCTGGCCACCATCAGTCTGTAGTCTGTATCTGTCTGTTTCAATTTGGTTTGCTTGTCTGTTTTGTTCTTTAGACTCCACATATAAGTTAAATCATCCTATCTAATAATAGAGAAACATGGTAATTAGCCGTACCTCCACTACCCTTCCCATTGGCTAATCAGGGTGATATGCAAATTAACTGCCAACCAAGATGGCGGCCGGCAGCCAGGCAGCTTGAAGTGAACAGGGAGGCTGGCTTGCTTCAGTGACGGAGGAAGCCAAGCTTCCC